CACAAACACTCATAAACTAAAGCTTACGAGAAGCCTGAGGAGGAGGCATTATTTCAGAGGGGGAAACTGAGGCTCAGAAAAGCGGCAGGGTCTGCCCAGCCACAGCAGACGCCAGCAGCCCGGCTCAGCTCCCACCCTCCACCATAACCAGGGCAGCAGCGGGCAGGCAGCAGCGAGCGGATGAGCCGGCAGGCGCCCGGCGCCTCAAGAGACGTGGAGCTTCTGTGGGAAGGGCCGGGCGGACTCGGGCGCGGGGCAGAGCGGGAAGCTGAGCCCTCCAGTGTGCAGGGGAGGTAGGGCTGGACGAGGAAATATAAATAGCGCAGCTTGGCTTTTGTGCCGTGAGTGGGCCTTATACGGGCGAGAGCCACAGCACGGGCCATCGTGGGAGGAGGGATGAGTTTCACACCCACGTTAACGCCAGAGGTTCGGAGGCCAGACCCGGCCTCGGCTTTCGGTCTCTGCTCCTCAGGAGAGCGTGGAGAAGCAGCTGAGCGCAGGGGTCTGGTGGGGAGCACGGGGCGCACGGACCCGCGTGCTGCAGCCCCCGCACCCACCGCCCCGAGCTCCGGGCTTGCTGCAGACGAACCGTTGTGAAACAAAACCCTCATGAGTGTAAGGACAGCAGCGTGTCCGCGGGAGCCAGCGTGACCTGCAGCCGCACGGCACAGCCTGCGTGGGTTCCGTGGGCTGGTGGAGCGTGCCCGGCCACCAGCGTTAGAGCCAACAGCAATTTCAAACAAAGCCTGGATGGCAGCGCTGGGGCTCCGTCCCGCGCCGGGCCCGCAGCCGCACCGCGCTGGGGTCAGTATTTCCCGGGGGCTCACTGCAGAGACTTGCGTTGCAGCAGCACCTGGGGTTTGCATTTATTTTCTGATAATATTTTAAATAAAAGGCTGGTTTCGTTTTGCTGTGAACCCTCTCCAAAGCAGCTCCCTTTCGGCCACAGCTGTTCTCACCCCAGGTTCAGCAGAGAATTACCGTGAGGTTCTCGCTGGTGGGGTTGTGGATCAGCAACCTGCCAGGTCCCAGGAGCAGCCAGTGACAGTCCTGGTGTGGTCAGAGGGGACAGGGTATTCCTCTCATGCTGGATTTGCTTTTGCTTTATTTTATTCTGCTCTTAAACAAAATATGAAAGAGAATTAATCATGAAGCCTTTGTTAAAAAACCACAAAAAATCTGAATCAAAACCACAAAAAATCTGAATTATACACGCTGGTAGTCATTAATTAACTCTGACCCTTTGTCTTTGTTGCTGGAATACTGGGGTCTTAGCCCAGAAAGCTGTTGTATCTCCCCTTCTGTTCTCCAGCTGTTGGTCACAGAAGCAGCAAAATTAGAGGTGAGAAGGAGCCATCCCAGGGGAAAGAGAGGAATCCCACTCAAGTCCATTCCCTCGGGCTGCAGCGCTGCATGTTCTCCTCCTTTGTGAGGGGCACGGCGTTAACATCCTGATGTGCACAGAATCCCTCAGATTCTCGGCACGTTCCTGAATTATAAGTCTCAAGATAATAATTCACAGGAGACTGAGCCTTAAAAAAAACGTCACCATGTTAATGTCTCTCACTTCCAGGATGTTTCTTAGTGCAGATTATCAATCCTCCTACTGAAAGACAATTCCGGAGCCTGGATTTCTCTCCTGCCGCCTGGGATCCACTGCATTAATATTTCATTGCTCAGGTATTATTTATCAGCGGTTAGTGCCAGGACTGCTTGCTTTGCTGAAATCCTTTCAGCATTATAGTTACAGACTGAGCTGTGCAGCAATAAATTGTCTCAGAGTGAAGGGCCAGAGGCTGCTCAGCATCACAGGATAGGGTTAGACTAGATGATGAATGGCCCGTGAACGTAAAACCGAAGGTGATGTTCCTGCTGCCCAGCCACTCCTCCCCCAGGCCCTCGCAGTGGATCTGCTCAGGGTGCCTGTGCGACGCCCCGGGGCCTGCGGGGCTCCCGGTTGGGTGCTGGAGCGCTCTGGGTCCCAGTGAGACTGTGGCTGCTTTTCCCATTCCTAAGCTAGATACGAGCCCTCGGCAAAAATAAATCAACCCCTCAGGGACACAGAGCGGGAGAGACTCTCCAAGGCCGCATGTAACCGGGTTTGCAGGTCTGGGGTTCGAAACCAGAGGACTGCAGAGGCCGGAGCCGGCCGTGCCGGCTCTGGAGGGACACAGTCCCGCTGCAGGGCACGGGAACCTTCGGGTGTCGTGGGAGGGGTGCTGCTCCCCGTGTCTCCCACTTCCCCCGCTCCACGCAAAGGCCAAGGCTCGCCGAGCCGCTGCGTGGCACCGCGCTGGCGCCCGGCCCCGCTCCCGGCGGGCAGCGGCTCCTGCGGGCGAGGG